CTTGTAAATCCAGATATTTTAAAGAACAAGGTTTACCAGAACCCACATAAAAAAAACTTTTTTCGCACTTAAAAACTGTATTACTTAGTGAGTTACCAGTTATGCCGTACGATAAGTTGGGGAAACTGCATTATAAAAAGCGCGCAAAAGTAAAAAATTTTTGGCCCATGCTACACAAAGAATTTGCAAAATTCGGTTATTATTCATGTAACTGATGTTACAAACCTCCTTTCAGGATCCAGTACAAGTGTACGTTCCAGAAAGTCAATTAAATCTGGAGAGTCGGAAGGGAATATTTTACTGAACTGCTGCCGTGGACATTTCCCATGATGCTTTAATACATTGTAAACACCCTCATTTTCTTTAATTTTGCCCATCAGGATGTCGTCTGGACTTCCACATAGACGTGCAATTAATTCATACTGTGCGAACCCTATTAGAATCAATATTAGCTTGTTAAACTGATTTTAAACCCGAAAAACTTTAAGAACGAAAGCAGAAAAAAAACTAACAGTCGTCGCCTTGAAACAAAACGTGGCCAAGACAAAGTTCGCCTAATATACAACCAACCGACCACATATCAGCTGAAAATGTTTTAAATATCATCACTTCAACCACAAAAAATTTCTGTAAATACAAAGAAAAGTAACTGATAAATACATTCAAATGTACCCTGTTGATCATACGCGCCGATCTTCCAAAACATAACCTCCGGGCTTCTATACCATCTCGTCATTACATACTCAGTCAGGTTAACACCGTTATTATCCAAAGTACGAGCTTGCCCAAAATCAAGGACAGTAAGATCACAATCACTAGTTAATGCTAGGTTACTCGGTTTCAAATCTCTGTGTATAACCTGTAACTTTGTATCCTTGTTGAAACTGTTTATAAATACGAGCAGTGCGGGCAAGCACAAAAAAAGGCTAAGAAAGAAAAATTAGTAAACTGCCAACAAATCAAGCGAGGAAGTGTTACGATACTATTCCACTGTTTTCCGAACTTGCAGAATAACTTAAAATTCAAAATAAAAGTTGATTTTTAACTGCTAGGATGAGCAAAAAACAAGAGTGAAATTTTATTCTACAAATAAGAAACCTCAAACTTAAAAAATAGCACTAAAAAGCAGAAATAAAGCCATCCAGCATTTCAGTTTTATTTAATTAGAGAGCTTTAAGTTGAAGCTACTTACTTATTTTAACAATCAGAGCAAGATTTGAGAGCAAATACCTAAATTTAGATAAATAAACAGGTACGGAACTAATTGAAGTAATAAAAATAATCAACTACAAATAAAAAATATATGATGTAAAAAATATTCGAAGTTTTTAATTTTCACATACTCTAGCAGAATGAATGTACTTCAGTGCTCGAAGCAATTGATATATAATAAACTGGTGATGGTCAGGTGTTAATTGCACTCTGCCTGATTCACGCTGCCGTTTCATAATTGTAAAAAGGCTCATGCCAGCATATTCTGTAACAATGTACCTAAAATGTTTGACCATTGACAGAAGAGACTTCACAAATTTAAAAGACCGACAGAGTAACGGCAGAAATTCTAAGACTAGTGTATTAATAGAATCTTGAAAGATAAAGGAACTTACACACTCTTGAGGTTTTCTGGTGAACTATCAGGTGTGTAAATATCAACCAAGCTAACAACATTTTCGTGTATCATCATTTGCAAAAGCCGGAGTTCCCTAAAGAAGAATCCTCTGTTTCAAACGGCACTAACCAAAAAATGAGACAGAAGGTAGTGTATAACAATTATAAAGGAGTTTTAACAAGGTAACTACTTTTGAACTAAATCAGGAACTTTAAATAGCCACAGGTTACAGTTAAAAGTGATTACACGAATTTGTATAGAATAGACTGGAAAGACAGCCGTGCAGCTAACCTGTAGACGCGTAAGGCAATGCTCTTGTCACGTAAAGGTTCATAAAGCTTTTTGACAGCAACTTCATAAACATTTCCTTTATAGTAATACTGTGGAATCTTTCTGTAAGATTAAAGCACGTAAAGTGATAGAAGAACTGAGAAACAGTATTGAACAGAGAATCAGGAGCACGTCCTCTCTTAATTTGTTAAAATCAAAAAGGAACATTACACTCCACTCTCGCAACCATCATTTTGCTGGCGAATTTGTCAAGTACCTTTTCCCATTTACGCTAATCTACGATCAACAAAAGAAATAAAAAAAAGGAAATATGTCTCCAGCTACATTTCTCAAATTACTAACTTAAACGGACAAATTAAATTCCAGCTGCTAAAAGTTTATGTCTCCTTTCCAGCTGCGCAATCGCCCTGACTATATCCCA